TACTCACTTCCTCTTTGAGCTGTTCCTCGGTCTTGCCGACCCAGGCGACCTCAGGGTGTGTGTATATAACGGAGGGCACACAGTTGTAGTCGATATGGACGGCTCCTCCTGCCATTCCCTCGACACAAATGATACCTTCATCTTCTGCTTTATGGGCCAACATAGGTCCAGCTACAACATCTCCGATGGCATAGATACTATAAGAGATTTGCAATCCATATTAGGACTTGTCGGTCGCAACGTATACAAGAAAACTCATTTCAAATCACCATACTTGGGCACTTTGGTCTGGAAACGACCATTGACAGGGATTCTCCCGCGGTTATCCAGTTCTATACCGACAGCCTCAAGGCCGAGGTTACTGGCGAAGGGACGGCGGCCAATGCACACCAGCAGAACGTCACAGGTGAGCGTCTCGCTCTTGCCGCCAGCTGCAGCTTCCACACTAACCAACGGAAACAACAAAATGGGCAAAAGCACTAGATGAATTAGTTCCTACACAGCAGATGAATAAACGCTGCACTCACGCCACATCGATCTTGCCGTCAGGTCTCCTGCTGGCGCCCATGACCTTGGTGCTCAGTTTGAACTTCAACCCCTGCTTCTGGAGAATTCGCTGGAAGTTCTTGGAGATCTCCATGTCGATGCCCATTCCGCCGACGTGGCCGAGGAACTCCACCGCTGTGACTTTGGCACCAAGCCTCTGCCATACGGACCCCTGGAAACAAACAGAATGGATCTCCATTATCAAACCCAATTCAGAAGCATCATTGGACTTCAAATGTTACAAACAAGCAGTTTCATGACCAAAATTTAGATCAGTGTTATGATGATTATGGAATGAAACACCACAATCAACCAATTGCCTACTCACCAACTCTACGCCAATGACTCCAGCTCCAATCACGATGAGCTCATCTGGAACCTTCTTGAGGGACAAAGCGCCGGTGGATGAGACAATGGTGTCTTCATCGATCTATCAAAAGAGGATCATAATTATACAAGACAGCAGGCCAAGCAAGAAAACTCTTTTGCCTGAAGTAAAACCGTGAAATCGCAATATGGCTTATTGCAATTATCAAATCACAAAGACTCAAATTTAAATAATGAGAAGAAGCGCTTATAAACTGGCTGTTGTCAACAAAAGAGAAGATTTAAAGGTGTGTGCAAAAAAAAAAAAAAAAGCGAATTTAATCATTTGTGCAAGTAGATTACACACAAAGTAATGCAGAGATGGGAATAGATGCAAATTGGGCAACGCGATTGCCACAAACGCGTGATATTTGCCTCGTTCGCATCTTTCAACTCGAGTGGGAAATTCAAAACTCGAGAAATTACGCACTGTCACGCCGGCCAATCAGAGAGGAGCTTACTGACACGTCCAGATTGACTTGTTGTTGTTTGTTGATGTGCGTTAAGACACTCCTCATTAAGCGATATCTTTATCCACGCGAGTGACGAGAAAAACATCCCGCGAGTAATCTAGAGTGATTAACGCAATGCTAATATTCGCTTCGCTTTTGGTGCACACACCATAAGGGCTCTTTGTGGTTTTCCAGGAAAATGAAAGCTCAGTGGTTTAACATCGGAAAATTAAGAAATAAAAATAACAATATTACTATTGTAATTTTACAGTTGTACTATAACAAAATTATTATGTTTTTTCTTAAATGCTCAGTTTATTTTACAGTGAAATACTGCAATTGTAATATTTCTTATTTTGTTCGATATTTTTATTTAGCAATTATTATTTTAATTATTATTTATTTCATAGTCATAATGATATAAACAAACAAGCACAGCAAACATGGAGCTTTAAAAAAAAAAAAATCATAATTCTAACTTACAATACAAAAATATATTGGAAAATAAAATGGGTATAATATACTAATTAATAATTTACTATTTTACCAAATATTTCTGCATGCTATGCATTTTATCCTTATTACAGTTTCGCAAGCTGTTAATTGGCAAACTCTACTGAAACCACATGTGATTTGAGGCTTCTGTGGGTGGCACATGTAGAGCAGGGGTCCTCAACTCTGGCCCTCGAGGTCCACTTTCCTGCAGAGTTTAGCTTCAACCCTAATCAATCAAACACACCTGAACAAGCTAATCAAGGTCTTTTAGGATTGGTACAAAGTTACAGGCAGGTGAGTTTGGACAAGGTTGGATCTAAACTCTGCAGGAAAGTGGATCTCGAGGACGAGTTGGGAACATCTGATGTAGAGTGTTCCACATCGCTCACTTATGAGGTTCCATATCGATTAGGATGCTCATTTAAGCTCAAAGTATACTTCAACCGTCCACGTTCCGCAACGGTCCACACACTGTCGGTGTAACGCAGTGTCCGTGGACATCAGCGCACAGTTTGTGTGCGACCCAATTTTTGTTCCTGTGGATGGTCTGCATACAACAGCGCAGACACAAGGTGAACTGCGCATGTGTCGAACTCGTCCATGAGAGCTCATCTGCAGCTGAGTATACTTTAAAAGCTGTGCGGAAGATGGAAAGAAATACACCCAGGCCTTTAGAAGGCAGCTGTCAGTGAAGCCGGTAGACAGTGCTGATGATACACAGGGCAACTTTGCCATCAATGGCCAACCAGGTGAGATACAGGGCCCACGACCGATCTAAATTATCCAGATAGAAATTTGTTACCCATTCTCAATGGGAAAGTGCCCAAGCAACATTGTTTAAAAAAAGCTGCCCGGCAAAATTGCTCAAAAAGTTGCTCCGTGTGTCATCAGCGGCTTATGTTCTTGTTTATCGCTGATGTACCTCAATGCCTGGGAAGGGGGTGACCTCTGATCCAGTAGCGATGAGGATGTTCTTAGTGTTTATGACCTGTTCTCCATCAGCAGTCTTTGCGGTCACTTGACTCTTGCCAGTTACCGTTCCAAAACCATTGATGTGAGTTACCTAGGGATTGCAAAAAGAAAAAAATAATTTAGTATAGCTCTAAAAAGTGTATTGATCTACAACGGCATATTACCATTGGATAAACAGATAAAACAAATAAAAAAAGAAATACTGAATCTCACTTTGTTCTGCTTGAATAAGTGTGCGATTCCTCCGGTCAGAGCTTTGACAGCCCCGCTCTTCTGTGCCATCATCTTCTCCAGGTTCAATGAGAGCCCCTGAACTAATGTAGAAGAAATCATGATGAAACAGATTGACTAACAGACTTAAAAGACATGATTTGAAAAAAGAAAAAAAATATATTTATTACAGTTTAAATGGCCTCATTCAAATCTGTTGGCTTCTGCATATCCTTGACACAATAACATGCGATATGTGGACCCATATCACATGTTTACACTTGAACTTACTTTCAATGCCTCTGCTTTCGAAATCGTTTCCGTGTGCCAAGTGATACAGGTACGAGTTGTTCAGCAGAGCCTTAAATAAGCAAAAAAATAAATAAAATCAAGTTAAGCATAAATTAGTCATTTTGGAAAAGCACTTTAAAAAAAATAAATAAAATTCACAAACCTTTGACGGGATGCAGCCCACGTTCAAGCACGTTCCTCCGAGGGTCGTGTTCTTTTCCACACATACTGTCTGTGAAAGAAGTTTGCAGTTACCAACGCAGTCAAAGAAAAGCTGATGGTATCTGTGATCCGGGTGTCAAAATGATACCTTAAAGCCAAGCTGAGCTGCTTTGATGGCGGCGACGTATCCTCCAGGCCCAGAGCCCACAACTGTGACATCAGCATCAACTTTGACAGAACAAATGATTGTTTCAGTATGGATTTACATATTAGTGCATTTCATATCATTTAGCTTGTCTATTGTTAAAGGTCATCACTGAATGTTTATAAATATAACAGTACAGATATGATTACATAAAGGCCCGTTCACACCAAGGATAACGATATCTAAAGATAACGATAAAGATATAGTTCTAAAAATCGTTCTGAATATTAAAGAATAGCAGAGTTCACACCACAACTATAACGATAAAGGCACAGAGAAACGATATCATTGGAATCACCAATGATATAATTGGCAGCCAATCAGAATCAATCCTGCTGTCACAAGCTCGAGAATTTAAAGCGGCAGACGCGTGTGCTTAGAATAAACAGACGATATCGTCCGCTGGTGTGGACGCTAATATCGTTATCGTTCTTGGTGTGAACGGGGCTTTAGTCGTCTTACTTGGTGCTTTGTCAGCATACGTTCTCAACGACAAGACTGTGGCTCCATGCAGCTTGTAGGGGAGGTGCTGACCTCGCTGTATTGCACAAAAGAAATAGAAACAACAAAACTTTATTTTATTATACAGATATTGCTTCTACATATGCTATTTTAATGCTTACAAATGACAAAATATTTAAATACACTTTTAAATAAAATAAATAATCCAAAGGGAGAATGAGACAAAAATAGAAAAATAAATGTCAGCATTTAAAGGGATAAAGGTCACAGGTATTAAACAGTTGCATAATTATGTTGCAATAAAGGCAATGTCTCCATATTAAATATTAGATTAAAAAAAAAAGAAGAAAAGAAAAACTTAAATTAGAAATGTTTTGGCTGCTAACTGAAAATAAGTTGAAGTACTAACTAAAACTGAAATAAAAAAAAACTCAATTTATAAAAAAAAATTAAAATAGAAATGACAAATAAAAACTGTTTTCCACAATTTTAGATTTTTAGACTCCTTGTCTAATAGGTGCTTAAAGTTGATTGGTTGATGGCGGCCATGCTTTTCAAGATACATCAATGCCCTCAAATGCTGCGTTCACGCCATGTCGTAATTACCGTAATTCCGAGATGACAGCACGTGACGTTCAACTCGGTGCTGTTCATGTCCTCGGACTGGGGATTATCCATTTCTATAGTGACTGTCAACAAAATGAACCCGCGTGAAAGAAAGCTACTGGCAGCTATAAATCTAACTCTGTGCTGCATGTCTTTCATTTATGTTCACATTACTTTTGTTTGAAGACATCTACATTGGCAAAAGTCAATTACACGAATTTTAAAACATAAATATTACGAAATAACTGCTTAATTACATTTTACTACTGGAAGCGCCGCCATGTTTCTCTGGTTCTGCGTGAGGTGCAGCGGTCACTTGGTACAAGCTGTAGCTCTCAGAAAACTCCCAGTTCACAAGTTGTAATTACGAGTTCTACAAGGACGTGAATGCTTTTTTCAAGTTGGAATCTCGTAATTACGGTAATTACGATATGGCGTGAAAGCACCTATAGATGTTGGTGGCACCTTGGTCAAAAAGACATTGTATGCCAAATTTCAAATCAATCAGACTAACGTGTGCATAGTTACGGCTGTGGCTAGCAGGGATACAGCTACGGCTGGAAACCAACAATAAATTAAAATTTCTACCTATTAGATTGTTTTTTTTAATGTCTACACCTACCCAACCCTAAACCTACCCCTTACATTAATGCAAAAACAGTAATTATTGTTGTACAGTGTGACAGCTATATTGATGTGCGCATGCCCAGTAGCCACAGCAGTACCCCTTCTAGCCTTAACCCGTAGTTACAGCCATTTTCAAGTTTTTTCCTGTTTTAGCGCCACCAAGTGGTCTTCACGCTTGAACCCCTAATTTAATTTATAATTAAAGTAGACCCACTTCTTAAAGTGCTCCTATTATGCCATTTTTAAGGTTGCTAATATTATTTTATGAGTCTCCTAAAACAGGTTTACATGCATGCAAGGTCAAAAAACACGTTAGTTATCTCAAAAAATTGATTTAATTAGCAGTTCAAAGAATCAGTCTCTCTAAACTCCTCCTTTCCGTGAGCCCTCACTGCTGTGATTGGTCAGATGGCGCAGTCCTCTGTGATTGGTCCAGAGCCGTAGAGAGCTTGGCTCTGGATTGGTCTACCGCGTACAGCGCGTGTCGGAAACGAAACGCCCATTGCCATGACGGAATGACAGCCCTGGAGACTTGTCAATACATAGAAAAGATGGTATCGATTGTACCTAACCAATTAGAGCCGGAGTCTGACGACGAAACGGTCGAAGTGGCTGATCGACAAGAGACTGATTCGCAAGCACGACTGGAGCAGGACGTTTCTCAGTGGTAAGTGTCAAGTGTTAACAAGTTTGTGGTAATTATAAGATATAAGTGATAAAACAAATTTACTCTCACAGCACAGGATACAGCGTCTTCTCGACATGATGTTAACCACACGGAAATTGTACTGTTTGTGGGCGGGCAAGAGGGCGATGTAGAACGTGGGCGGACATTATGCAAATGTGTTCCTTCGTGACGTAGAGCCGTAACAGAATAAGATTAGAATTTGTGACGACTAATTTGAAAAGGCATAATAGGGGCACTTTAAATCTTGTTTTGTTAAACGTTTTAAAAAGTGACTAACTGAACGAAATGTTTTAGCAATAATGTTTTTTTAAAATGTACATTGATTTTATACACAGCTTTGTATGTAACTGTTTATTAATATTAATTTATGTTTAGGTGAATAAAATACATTTTCTAATGACTTGCTAAGGGCTTGTTTCCCCTGCCTCTTACACCCTGAACATGCATGACATAAAGAATGCAAAACATACTGATATAATATAATATAATATAATATATCAATACCATTGAATAAAGGGAGAAAGGCTCAGTTTCTGCAATGATCACTTTCGTGTACTTCCCCTTTACAAGCTCTCTACCATTAGATCAACTCATCCCATACAGGTCTCAAGCACTTCCCTCTAGTGGTTAAACAAGGCAAATTATACTCAGAATTTCAGAAACTTTTTTCCCACAAGCAATGCAAACAACAGACAACTACTGTGCTCGGCTTAGACTCATTTTCATGTGCGTGGGAATTACAAGAATCATACCATGCAAAAAATAAAAAAGGAATCTTTGTCATATGGTTCGTTTTCCCGACTGACATCCTACAGTTTGTAAAACTCTCACACATTTGTCATATTTGAGCTGTTTATTTCTTGTTGGCTAGTTAGTATTTATTGTATTTAATAATACAAAATGAAACATTAATATTACACAAAAATGCAAAGTTATGTAAATATCATGTAAATTACGTGGAAGCTGGTAACACAATTCACAATACATGACCATATATCACGGTTGACTAAAGAGACGAAGAGATGGAAGAGGATTAGACCGGAAGTCCACTCAAATAGAGCAAAACGAGAGATGTTAGGCTTCAATCAGCATTCACTTTCATTGCATCTTTTCCCATAGAGTATATGAAATGGTGCCTGAAGCTGTCTGACATCTCCTTTTGTGATCCGCAGAAGAAGTCATTTCACACAGGTTTGGAATAACACATCTTTGGTCGAACGATTCCGTTAAAAGTGACTTGATATTAAACCGAGGTGAGATCCAGTAATAATTTGCTTCAGTCTTCTACGACGAGTTCCTTTATTACAACTTCAGTTATTATTAATAATTCACGATAATGAATAAAATCCCTCTGGAACTCTTGCTATAGCAGGGCGCGGACTTCTGCCACCTCTACTGCGCATGCGCGGTGTCATCGCAACTGATAAACACCGGTGGCCAAGATGTCATCGCCGCGGGGGCTCGAGGCAGCAGAATACCTCGAGAAACACAAAATTATTGAGCTTATGGATAATTTAACTAGTATGCTCTTCTTCTACAGACCAGGTGGGACTTTTGACTCGAGTAGATTTGGTAGACTACTTTAGTTCACCGTCTACCTCCTAGTAACCTGTGTCGCATTTACCTTAATCAGCATACATTTGAATTTGAAATTGAGAGTTTGATGTCATAAATAAGGACCGTTTTTGTAGTGTGTAAGTTAGACATCTAGAGTAGTAACCAGTTGCTTTCTTGCCGTTCATTTTTTTGGGAAACAGAAAAATAATGAGAAGCTTAATGCCCAGTCTCATGAATTCTGCCGTTACAGACCGTCCTAGAGAATTTCTGATAGACCAGCTTGAAAAGCTGAAAGTTTCGGAAGTTCATCCAGGAAAGCCTCCGTGCCTCTTTAACGAGTCCAACTTAGATGCGCTGTTTGGAGTCCTGGATCCTTCCCATCAAGGCTCGATCACTTACAGTCAATACAAAGAAGGTAAAACTGCCATAATGTTGCAGAGGCTGTAAAAGACCTTGTCATTTTGGGAAAAGCTGTGCTGTAACTAACTACAGTAACATATAAAGGAAGTCATCTGAATAAAAGTGTTTGTCAAATGCATGGAAATATAATATAAGCAGTGAAATTCCCAATTCAAAAACAATTTTTGTCGATGTTTTGAAAAAAAAAACATCAACAAACATTTCAAGAATTTCAATGATTATATTATATTATA